GCTGGATTAGTGGGTGGACGAGCGGGAGGCTGTGTGGATTGGTGGATGGATGGTGGGCGGGTGGGTAGGAGGACGGACGGTGGCTGGCTGGATGGGAGGATGGACGGGTGGCTGGCTGGATGCACATGTGGGGGGGCGGAGGAGGGCGTGGGCGGACGTATGGATAGCTGGATGAGTCAAAGGACAGCTGTGCGAGTGGATGGTGAGTGGAAGGGTGGAGGGGTGTTGAGTTGGGCGGGTGGACGGAAGAGGGGACGGGTAGGTGGATGCCTGGCTTCTAACCCTGCAGGTTTTGACACAAAGATAATGAAGAATTGTGGCAAGATCCATTCCAAGAGAACCAAGCTAGACCACCTGATGAACAGGCTGGTGATCTTGGTGAGCGGCCACTGAGTACACGCCCCAGGGAACGCAGAGGAGAGGCAGGGGAGCCCCCTGCCCCCAGACACAAGCACTGGCCGTCCTCTTCTGGGCTCAGTTTCTCTCTTCTGCAAAATGTGCAGCTTGGTCCCACAGACAGGTCTTTGGGTCAGACAATCTTTTGTTAAAATGACAATTTAAAAAAAGGTTTTATGAGATAAACTTTACTCCTGATGTCCTTCCTCCCTTCCTCCCTTCCTTCCTTTCTTTCTTTCTGTTGGAGTCTCACTCCGTCGCCCAGACTGGAGGGCAGTGGCCGCTCCCGGCCACCGCAGCCTCGACCTGCTGGGCTCCGCGATCCTACCGCCTCAGCCTTCCAAGGAGCCGGAATTACAGGCGTACGCTACCACGCCCGGCTGATTTTTTGATTGATTGTAGAGATGAGGTCTCACCAAGTTGCCCGGGCGGGTCTCGAACCCGCGGGCTCAGGCCATCCACTCACCTCGGCCTCCCAAAGGCGCGGGATCACAGGCTGAGCCACCGAGCCGGGCTTCTTGATGTTTTTCAAACCCTTAGGAAATAAGATTCTTATCTTTCCTCCACTGAAATGTAGTGATTGTTAACCTTTTGCTAAGTCAACTTTATCTTTTCTAAAGTCATTGTGATAAAAAGCACCAGCTACAATCTGGGTACAGTGGCTCATGCCTGTAATTCCATTTTGAGAGGCCAAGACAGGGGGAATCACTTGAATCCAGGAGTTCAAGACCAGCCTAGGAAACATAGCGAGGCCCCATCTGTACTTTTAAAAATTAGCAACAAAATCCTGGAAGTTGCACCAAGCACCCTTCCATCCATCCATCCACCTCCTCACCCATCCATTTGTCTATTCACCCACCCATCCATCCACCCACACAGCCACCCACCCACCCACCATCCATCCACCAACCCGTCTACCCATCCATTCATTCACCACCCGTCCATCCATCCATCCACGCGTCCTTTCATCCATCCACACAGTCACTTACCCACCCACCCACC